CAGACTCAAACGCAGCATCCTCACTGGGGCTCCCAACACTGCTGCTGCCCCTACACTGCTTTGCCCCACACTGAGCCAGTGGGGCTGGGGACTGCTGCCACCACCCAGGCATCCCAGGGCGAGCTGTGGGCTGGCACAGGACATGGGTGTTGCCGTGCCAGAGGATCTGCAATGGACCAGGCAAAAATTAGTTCACAGGCCAGATCCAGCCAAAGTGCTGCATTTTGCCAATCCCTGGACTAACTGCATCAAAGATGCATATGCTTTCATAAGCCAGAGCTCACTTCATTAAATGCTATGCTTCATCAGATCACAGCATCTATTAAACATGATCTCTGGCTCATGAAAGCTTATGCATCTCTGATGCAGTTAGTCTATAAGGCGCATGGCACCTTGCCTTCTGCCTGACTTCAGACTAACATGGCTAACTACCTCTTCTCAATTCAAGTTCTTGTTTCTTGAATAGTTATGCCATGTTAAAATGAAATGCATTTATATTTTCCATAGATGTAAAGATTCCATTCTAATTCCCTCATTTTTATTACTGCTTTGCAAATACTTGTTTAACTTACTTAGCATAAAGAATCCAGGCAATTTTAGTTGCTCAGATCATTGGCTTTCCATGTATTTCTATATATGAAAACAAATATATATACAGAGATAGACATACATACATGTAGCATATTTATTCAAATTCAAAATGAGTTTTTCCCCATTTAATATGGGGAAAAAAAATCTCATTCTGGATCTGAGTATGACCCGGGACAGATGGATTCTGCAACTTCACCTCCAACCTTGACCTGTGGGAGACCACATGGTATGAGGGAAGGAGCACAGGGCAGAGAGAGGGTAGAGCACATGAGAGATCTGCCCCTGTCACTGCTTTCCCCGCTGCAGTGGTGGGGGAATAAATTTAAAATGATTCCCCAAAAACTAGATTCTACACGTGGAGAATTATAACAAATGTTCCAAATATAGAATCTTAACTGGGGGGGAGGGGTCATCTTAAATTCCAAGTCATCTTGGATTCAGGTAAATGCAATATACAAACTTTTTTGTTGGTTTGTTTCATGTTATTTCTTTTGCAGTAAAAGCTTTAACAAACAGGTGTCTCAGCAACATGCACATTGTTCTGCCGCGTGGGAGGTCGGATTATAAACAGCAGGGAAGGCAGAGAGGTCCAAATATACTTCCCCAGGGCTGATGCAATCTGCTGGAGAAAATGAATCACTCCTACAGAAAATTCCCAATGACTGATTTTTTTTTTTTTTTTTTTAAAGGAATGA